TTTGGTTTTATTCATGCAATATGGAATAATTTATAGGCCAAAATATTTTCAGCAATTTTAAATGCCACCACAATTAAAAGGAAAACCTTTTTCTTCATTAATCTTTCTGATGATCCAATGTTCATAGATACATGTTATAACTGGGAAAGCTATGTCCTTAACAAGGCATACCTTTGTGGTCAATGCTAGTCTCTGTATATTAGTATTTCATCTGCATTTTTCATAAATTTTCTCCCAAAGAGCATATGTCGCTTTGTTTGTAACTACAGCCACTGTCTCTATAAAAGTCTGAACCTTCTTCCACCTAGATTTTCCAAGTTTTCTTTTTTTCACATATAATTCAATATTACTTACATTTTTTAAAAATTAACCAATTAGTAATCCATAAAAAGATGAATTATCTGATAGTTGCTAAGTTTACTCAAGAGCCGTTTGTAAAGTTTTTTGGCAAAGTTTTTTTAAACAAAGTTTTTTCCTTTCTACACAGCTTGTTCTATAATGTGTGTGTGTTTTAAACAATTTAATTTAAACAATTAAATTTTGCTTTAATTCTAATTCTATCACAGAGGAATTCAATAGGCTTAGATATATCTCGTACAACTTCTGTAGTCAAAACAAATGCAGAGAATTCATTGAGTTCTTTGCAATTTCTATAAATTGATTGATGATTTCTTGCTTTCCTTCTTTTCTCGATTTTATTAATTAGTTTTGTGCTACATGTGACTTGGTCCTACCCATTACGCACTTTGCATTTTTGAAATTGTCAGGCAAAAATTCAAAATAATTCTACAGAAGAATATTCAGTTTGCTAATATTATACACAGTTTTTTCATGGATAAACTATCTTCAGATGCAATTAAGAAAAAAATAGATGTAGTTGGGAACCAATGTTCTAGGTTATAATAATGACTCTGGTTTGGCCTAACTGAACCTAATGAATAATGAATAATAAAAATATCTGGCTTCAGATTCCTTTTACAGGTTACAGTCCTTGAATTGGCTGTCTGACATCTGGAAAGTCATTAACATACTGTTCAAATAATGGCCAATTTAATGAAAATGTACTAAGGTAAGCAGAAAGAGAAACAATATGCAGATGGTTTAGGTTATAGAGAAGTGATAAGCTGCCTACATTTTATTGCCCCATCAATCAATTTTCACAATGGATTTTAATATGTAAAATGTTTTCATGAAAAAGTAATAGTATACCTCAGGTATCTGTGCTGTTTGTTAAATTTAATGTATAATTCAAATTTGCTGGTGAAAATTATCTTAGTACATATTTCACTAAATATGTTCTGCAATGTTATTTCAGATCTTATAATCCATCTTGCCTACCATTGATTACCCATTACATTTTACTGGTCATTGCCATTTACAACTACTTAAAACTTAAAATCTTCTGGTAATTACTCAAACCTTGAAGAAACCTGATACTAGGAGACCCCAGGGTACTTTACCTCTACCCAAAATCCTGGGGACAGCTAAGTTACAGTTTTTCAACCTTACTATTTCTTACATTGCTGTAATCAGTTATTATTTTGCCATCTCATTTGTCACTTCAGTAAGAATATGTATTAAAATCAAAGAACTGTAAGTTGGTCCCTCTAACTTGTGCTTATTGTAAAACAGTAAACTTAGTTTTTTAGAGTTAGGCCAGAATACAATGACCTTTGTCCAACATTTGGCATGAAGCCAGCTGAGTGACCTTGGGCCAGTCATTTTTTCTTATCCTATGAAGGAGGCAATGGCAAACCACTTCTCAAAAACCTCACCACCAAAACTGTATGGACTGGGCCAGGTAGTCTCTGAGGAATGGACATGATTGAACAGAAGAGGAAAAAAGTAGTCTAATGTTACTTATGCTTTTGAGAGCTAAAGTAAAGCAAGCACAAAATTCATACAAACATATGCTTATATATAATAAACATGCACCCCTTAGACTGGAATATAAAAAGTGGAATCTTAAAATCATATTCAAACTAGAGATTCTCTTTCCCAGCTAAACCCTTTTACTAAGTAATTATCCTAAGCTAAACTGAATTATGTAGTGAAGGAGAAAAAAAAGATATATTGCCTTGTTGGCTCATTTGGAGTCTAGGATCTTGGCTTACTAGCAAGTATTAAAGATTTTGGGCAGTAATCTGAGTACTCTATGCCAATTTGAATTATGTTTAGTAATGAACTTAAACAACAGTTGCCTTGATATAAATACTTGATATTGCTAAAAGTCATCCTTAGGAATTTAGATACTTCCAGTGGTCAGAAAGAATGCCACTCTAAATACATTTGGTTGTTAAATGGAATAACTATCCAGTGACCAGAAGGGAAGAGTATTTCCACTTTATGCATGTTTGCTAAGAAGCAAATCTTAATGACTTTTGCAGTCTCAAAGCAATGCACAGCGATTACACAGAAGATCTCATTAAATGTTTTTTTTTAAATCCAGCTGTGGATGAGAAATAGGAATGTATGTTCTGCTTTGACCTGGGTCATTCCATGCCGACCTGGAAATTATATTAAATAAAACTGTAACTGCATTATTTCCATTTCTCCTTCTCCAAACCATCTTTTTTCTTAAAAAAAAAAATCCCTGTAACAATTCTTTTATGGCCACCAGAATTTCTCTGTCAATTTTATAGGTTTTTTTTCCCTTCCTAGTCAACACTGAATATCATGTGACATATGGATGGTACTGAGAATGCTTTTTGTCCTGATTTTTCTTCTTTGTAATGTATAATATATTTAAATGCAAATATTATCTTGGCACAAATAATCCAATGTTCAGGCTTAGGAAATGTCACCAATTTGCTAAGTTAATATCTGACACTGGAAGAAGTAAGTCTGTAAGCATTATTATAATTAACCTTAGGAAAAATATTCAAAGCAAAGTCATTGTATCACTGAATTCATTATTAAGCAGAATGATGGAATATAATTTGTACAGCTAAATTGTTCACCTCCAAGGCCATTATTAGTCAATTAAAAGTAGCACATTATTATCTGTGTTCTTGGAGATTTGTTAGAAGGTTTAAACAGTATCGGAAACAACAATAACAACAGAAAAAAGTAAAAAAGTAAAAACATATAGTTTATACAAACCTATATATGTATATAAAGTTTACAGAATGGTTTCATTCACTCAATAGTTTTAATCATATTTTATTTAACTATCCCTCCATAACCAGATGTAAATAATTATTCCAATAATAATATCTTTCCAATGTTGAAGGTTGAATCTCTTAGGGGCAAAGGGGGGGCATGGAGAATCCATTTTCATTGTCCATAGATCAATTCCATATAAAATGTATATAATGAAGAGTCTTGATATTAAAAAAAGCACTGTCTCAAAGTTAATAAATGTAATTACAGGTTCCCAGAGTGCAACAATTTTAGGCTTTCTCAAAAACTTGTTTTAATGAACTGTTATTTTTATTGCATCTTTAACAACCTAATATACATCTTTTCAAATGTGACCCAATAAATCTGAAGGATTCTTTTTCTGCTAAATTAGACAAAGTCTAAGCACTATTTAAATTTTTGATACAGACATTGAGGCAATTTTCTATAGTTCAGACAAAATGAAGATCTCCAATTCCTTTTTTTCTTCAGGTTTTAAAATTTGCATATCAGATAAATTGATTGGTAATGCATTTCTAAAGACTTTTTTCATAAGATTTGGTGATCAGTTCTAATAGGCGTCATGGTGTCAATACAAGTCACAGATACTGCCAATTGGCAGCAACAGGAAAACAATATTTATCTCAATATTCACTGAGTGAAGTTTTTTCTTCACAAATATGAATATTCTACATAAAGTACAAAATATTCTGGCTTAACGACTCTTTTATCAATAGCCAAAGAAACCTCTTTATAGATCTTATTTGTATTTAATGTCATTATTTGAGAAATATCACGTGGAGTCAGAGTACCTAAATAGTTAATGAATTATGTACACATGTGAAACTTGTGAATTGTATTAATAAACAAATATTTCTACAATGCATTAATTCTGATTTAGTCCATTAACAGAATATCCTGCAGAAGAATCCTTCTGCAAGTCAGCCAAGTTTTCAGAATTGGAAGAAAAGTACAAAGTCCAGGGGGGGGGGAATCCAATCACAATCCAGATATTATGATTTGGACCCATTTTATAAATCCTTCAAGAAACTTTAATTTAGTATGCCCAAGTATGCCTTTGTACATACTTAGTATAAATAGCACTTTCTGTTATGTATGTATGCTGTATGTGCATATGAAATATGTTGGAGTATGTTTTACAGCAGTTATATTAGAAAGATTTGAACAATACTCCACACTTGACGTCTGTGAAAAACACCAAAATATATGAAGTTATTGCCATGCTTCACTAAATAAAGTAAGACATGTTGTTTACTTAGGTTCCAGCAAAGAATAAACACATGCTGACAAACATCACAGCCATGATAATCTACAGAAAAATGTTACCATTTTTAGGATATTTCTTTAGAAACCTCATTGAAGGCCATAGGATTTACTTCTAAGCAAGCAGGATAAAATTTGGACGTCGGGGCTGCATCTGGCAATCGGAAGTTTCCAGTACCCATAACTCTAATTACAAGGAAGGAATCGTGCATCATCACAACACAGTAAACAACGTGTTTTTTTTTTTTGTGTGTGTGTGTAGAGCTTTCCGGCTCCAGATATAGCTCGCTCCTTGTTCCCACATATCAGACACCCATCTGCAGTGCTGCTGGGAGGAGAGCGAGCGGACCGAAGGGAGAGAGGTTCTTCTCTCTGCCGCAGATCTCCGCATCTTGTCTTTCGCCTCACTTTTGGGCGCTGTCCATGGTTGCAGCAATGGTCCGCGTGACGTCAGCCCGCCCGAGCGTCCCAGCCATTGGTGGAAGAGCTCGGTCGGCCTGTGGAATCATGTAAACTCTGCCCACCCACGCCTCGCCCCCCTCCCTTGCCCGGCGGGGACCCGAATCCACTTTGTTGCCTAAATAGGCAGAGGAGTCCACCGGCAGCGCCGATCTGTTGGGAGACGTATAGCAGCCGCGCGGCGGAAGAGGCAGAAGCCAAGGCAGCGGGACAGTCGATGCCTGGGAGGCAAGGAGCCGCCCTACAGAAGCAGTGCAGAGCTCTGGCATGGGACTTTGCCCTGGCTGAACAGAACCCGCAGGCCGAGTAAACACCATGGAAGACTTTTTGCAACGCACCAAAACAAAGCTGGTAAGTTCTGCAGAAAAAGAGGGTATTGGAAACACTTTTTAAAAAACCATACCAGTTTGTTTTGCTACACTTTCCTGCACGTTTTTGTTTTTAAAGTTTTGGAAGACATCCAGATGAGCTTGTATGAATCAGCATTTTGAATAATAATATGAAATAGCTAACAATGACACCAGAATGTTGAAGGTTGCAACACCTGTGTTATTAATGGAATTCATTATTTCTCAAAGGTCCAGACTATTTTTTTTTTAAAAAAACCACACACACAACAAATAGCTGAATTCTCACTCACTCATTTGAAGAACTTGGTCTGTAGTTAGCAGGAATCCCAAAGAGCCGTCAAGCTTCTCTGTCTGTAATTTTTGTCAACCACAGAAATGATAGCTTATGGTTTGTAAGACAATTCAATCCATGTTTATTTAGAAAAGAGTTCTACTGTACTAAGTTAAGTATACTCTTAGGAAAATGTGTCCAGGATAATCTGTTCAATACTCTACAAAAGTGCATGGAACCCCTTTTGATTCTGTGGGTTAAAATTATGGAAGTAAACAACAATAAGTGAAAAGGTGAAAGTTCAATCAATGTCATAATATGAAAGCATCAGAATACCAAAACAAATTCACCACCATTGAGATCCCTTTAACTTAAAATGACTGTTGATATGAACCAAATGTAATTTAGACACAATAAAGCAGTGCAAATCAGTATCTGGTTCTGTAATATTTCTAAAGAAAGTTGAGTTGACAATACATAAGGGCTACAAGGGCAGAAGGCACGAGTTGCTTCATTTTAGCATGTCATCTAACATTTAAAGTTATGTTTAAAACTTTTAGCATATGGTCATTAATCAAAATTCATGCCACTTGAAATAAAATTACTCTTAGACTACATTCAAGTGCATTAAAATTAATATCTACAAATAACACCATAAACAATATTACATCTATCTTCAATAATATAAATTATATAATATATAAATTCAAAAATAAATAAATAAGCATTTCAAATATAATTAAATGGCATTATATGCCTTCTCCAGACTTTTTATTTGTTTTTTTACCAAACATTTTATTTTTGTATTTTTAAATATCTTTAAACAGATATCAGTTATTTGAAAAAGTCCTATATAAGATTTCTTAATAGAATAATATTTACAGTGACTAATGTTATACCTCTTTTTTTGAACCTCATTTTTGCTTAAGTTCTCTTCAAGGCAAAATAGAGCAAAATCTGATGACAAGCACAGAAAGCATGAATAATTGAGGACTTTCTTTTAACTCTAGAACCAGAACACAAGCACTCAAATTATAAAATTAACATTATACTATTGTAGCAGAAATTGAACATTAAGAATGTTGAATTACATTTTTAAAGTTCTGTTAAGATCTTATCTTGCTCATCTAGCCTTAGATGAGAATTAGAAGGTGGCACAGATCAGCACATCTGATGATGACTTAGTTATATTAGTAGAAGTAGCCTGAATGGGAAATTGTAGTACTCTCCTTGACTTACCATGAGTATCTATGCTTGCTGCACTTGTAACACTTTGTGCATAGCTGAAATATTTTATCATTTTTTCAAACGTGGCTAATATGTATTATAAGCTTCTCTTTGGAATTGCTAACAACAATGAATATAAAATACAACCCCTATAGATTCTTAAGTAAGCAAATTGTGCTAAAGGATAAATTCCAGATGAGTTGCTGAATTTGTTTGTTCAGCAAGAATCAAAAAGTGCAATGGAATTACAGAAGAGCATTTATTGATTGAAGCAAAAGCTTTCATAATTAATAGCTTACTTTGTAAGATACAGTAAGGTTTTTTAACCTAAAGGTAAAGATGCCCTTGAATTAAACTCAACTCTTAGTGACAGATTTGTGGCAACAGGACCTGAATTGTTTTCAGCTACCTTTTTTAATGTTTTAAAAGTTTTTACTTTGTTTTACAATGCTAGAAGTCCATAGTGATGTCTCATTTGATACTTGCCAGGCAATTGCCTGCTTATTTTCAGGGGCCAGGTAGTTAGTCAGCCAGGGAATCCACTGTATATGTTATAATTATAAATATAATATAATGAATAAAATCTAAAAGTAGCCAAATAAAATTAGGCTTTGATAATTCAAAGAATGGATGAAGAGTATAGACATTTCCTAATGTCAAACAGAAAACAATATAGTTACCTGTGCTAAGAATTTCACAGGGGGAAGAAACAACTGTGGAAAATTTATTTGCTACTTGGTGGGAAAATTCAAATTGGCAATTTTTAAGTATGCATATGTAAATAATCTTTAATAGCATGGATTAGCAATATTTTTGATGCCTGGCACCAATGAACAACATTGCATTTTATATATTTATTACCAAAAATTGGAATGTCACATAATTTCACTGACTCTAAAGTAGCTTACATTGATAAAATAAGACCGAGCCATCTGATATTCAATGAGACTGCTGACTACTTTGTATATGGGCATGTTAACCAAATGAATCTATAAATAGATAATAGTCAATATTATAAAAGACAAAGAGCCATAGCTAAATCTCATTTTGTGAGATTTAGTGAGCTTGAGATATTTGGACCATATAAAAACACTGAGAATCATGTCACTGATGCTATCTGTCATATTATGGTCTATACAGGTACTCCCTCCCTCTGGAATGAACTGCCCCCAGAGCTTCGTATAATCCCCGACCTCCGGTCCTTCCAACACGCTCTAAAAAGTTGGCTTTTCCAGCAAGCCAGCCTGACTGAACTAAATAAAATTTATTTATTTATAGGGTTTGTATGCCGCCCACTCTCGAGAGACTAAATGATTGATTATTGTTAATTTTAATCGATTTTTAAAAAAATGTTATTGTTAATCTTAATTGGGTTTGTTTTTTGGATACTCTAATTTTTTTTTAACTTTTGTAATATGTGTTTTTTTAAATGTTGTACGCCGCCCTGAGTCCTTGGGAGAAGGGCGGCATATAAATCCAATAAACAAACCAACTGCTTGAGACATGACCATAATGAAGCCTATGTTGCAATGGGCATTAGGTGAAGCATCTAACATAATGGTCGTTAGGTGAAGCATCTAATGAACCCCCCTCATCCCTGCTGTCCCAATGAATTGTTAAATGAACACATGGGTTAAGTGGAGCATAGGGTGTCTTGGGATGGGGGAAGCCCTTAAAGGCCTAGCACAGGCACAGGCCTGTCTGCTCTGGCCTGCCCAAGGTTTCCTCCATCTCCTGAGATGCCCTGTACTCTGCTTCCCACCCCTTGGGTCCCACTAGTTCTCTGAGTCCTTAGGCCTCAATCCTACCTCACCAGGTCAAACATCCACCTACTCACCCTTTGAAGAGCTCCAAGCTTTCTAGAGCATTGGAATGGCTTGTTTCTTCATATTTTATTGTTTTATTTATTAAATTTATTGGCCTCCCATTTTACCACTGGGTAACTATGGGTGGCTTACAATATTAAAAAGATAAAATTATATAAAACCCATACAAAATATGAATAAAGTACAGCAAAAATATAATTGCTCAACCCTATATAAAAGATGGGAATGGAGGGAGTAGGATGAGCAGAAGGGGGGAAGTGGAATCTGTTATTAATCTGTCAATCATCCCCAATGTAAAGTCCCCCCCCCAATTAGATCCCCAAGCCAACTGGCAGAGCCATGTTTTTAAACTTTTGCAGAAGGTGCAGTTGACTTCACTCTGGCAGGACAAGATGTTCTAAAGGGCAGGAGCAAAATTCTACTGGACCCCATCCATGGAATACCCTGGCCAATGGAGCCCACAGCAGGCCTTCCCTGCTGTCATGGGTGAGGCAGGCCAATCCCATTAGGATGAGATGGTCCCTCAAACTACCTGGACCCATTCCAAGAATGGCTTTAAAGGTGATTACCAACACCTTGAATTGCACCCGGAAGAAAACCAGCAGTCATTGCACTCATGGAGCAGTGATGTGACATGGGCTACTCTTGGGGCTCCCAAAACTTCCCATGCCACTGCACTTTGCACCACCTGTAGTTTCCAAATGCTTTTCGATAGTAGCCCCATGTAGAGTGTGTTGCAATAGTCCAAACACAAGTTGAATAGGGCTTGAATGTCCGAGCGCAGGGACTCTTGATCCAGGAGAGACCACAACTGGTGCTCAATCTGAAGTTGTGCAAAGGCTGTCCTAGCCACAACTGCCACTGCTCTTGGATTCATCAAGAAGAACTCCCAAGAAGCAGACTGTATCTGTCTAGGGTAGTGCCATCCCATCCAGAACTAAAGATGTCCAAATCCCAAATCTTGGGGTTCCATCCATCCAAAGCCATTCGGTCTTGCTAAGGTTCAGTCGAAGCCTGTTTTTCCCTCATCCAGGGCCCCACGGTCTCCAGCCATCAAGAGAAGGGCAGCAATAACATCACTTGGATCATCAGGGTAGAAATATAGAGTTGAGTATCATCAGCATATTGAAGATATTTCAACCTGTGGTGGATTATCTCACACTCTGCAACTATGGCTTTGCATAGTTGCAGGGTGTGGTTCCAGAACTGGCCACCACTATGCCCCACCCACAAATAGTAGCCACATTTGAATCACCATCCCATAGCCTAGAGACAAACTGCTTAGTTTTGCTGCCTTAACAAGATTTGCACAGTACTGCAGAAGATTTTTTGGGGAATTCAAAAGTTTCTTCAGCACTGTGCAGACCTTGTGAAGAAATAAAAATGAAACTGTTTGTTTGTCGACCACCATTTTCGTTTCACACACAAGGAGGTAGGACAAAATGGCGGATGTATTCTGGTTGCCACTGTGTGGCCCAGGAACATGTTCCTAACATGAAGTTCCAGAGAACTTCAAAAGGGAAATGTGATGGGTGTGTGGGGAGCAGACCCAAGCACTGTGGGGTCCAGCATAGGATGGGGGAGATGTGAGGAGTGGCTCCAGAATCCCTGTGGTTGGTTATAAGGGTAATTAACCACAGGGATGCTGTAGCCTTTGTAACTTTAAAGTAGAATTGAATGTAATTTTGGGGTGTCTATTGTAACTGAACATTTGTTAAGAGGCTCATCATACCTCAAGGACTACTTTTATAGGTGTGTCTCATATTTTAAAGAGAATAATTTGTTAAAAGTTTTCAGCTTCATAGAAATCTGATATTAATTTGAGAACCTTTAGCATCATACAAGTCTATACTCTATAATGTATTATATGATTTAAAAATTCCAGTAAAAACTCCATGTATTTATTTCTAACATCTTATATGTGAACTATGTATGCACCTATATTTTTATCAGCTTTATGTCTTTTTATTTTTACATAAAAGAAATACCCTATTGACCCAGCCATTTAAAACACAGAAGTAACACCTATATTTTGGACCCAAGCTATTTAAGAATCGTTCAATTTTTTCTAGTGGTTCCTGTTGATGTTTTTATGCTATGGCAGAATGCCATTATGCGGCCAATTTAATAAGGTTAGAAGACTATCCCAGATGAAGGAGGGTATATTGGAGAAATATATAGGATATACATTATTCTAAAATAGACAATTTCTAACATATAATAATCTAACACTCATGACTATCTAGATAGCAAGCACAAAAATATATTGCCACATTTAACTGGGCTTAAAAACAAGACCTTTCAGAAACTGGAAGTATATTAACTCATCATACTACTAATTGATATAAATTTTTGTTTCTTGGAAATAATCAGAATATTTCATGTTGAACATGACTTTTGTATAAAAGCCTAGTATACTTATAAAAATTGGACATGTTTATAAGAATACACATGTAAACTCTACCAGTGTTCTTGGATTAAAATATGAGTATTGGTATGTACATGTGAGTTATTAATTTAACATATTACCAGTGTTAAGTGGTACAGGCGTGATCCAATGAACAACACATTATCACATCAGTTCATGTTATGATTTTGTTTGAAGTGTGCCAGAAGTGGGGAAAACAATAGAGTTTTCTATTGGGGACTGTTCTTGGCCCAAAGTGGTATCATTCCAGTATTATAAGTATTTATATATAAAATAGGATAAAGGAAGGTGACCTTGATTACCTCTCATGAGGGGAATGTAGCTAGTTATTGTAGCTAAAGCTGATATGCAATGAGTGAATTGATTCCATGAAATCAATTCATTCATCGCATATGTTGAATCTAATTGATGTTTCCTTTATTCAAAACAGTTTCTGGATATGCAACAAAAGATTGAAAGTATTTCTTTAATTCTGAGTTGGTTCTCTACAGATCCAATTTCTTAATAAAATACTATGCATACTAGGGATTGGTCAGAAAAAATAGCAATAATAATTGAATGAAATATTTCTCTTAATATTATGATCAGAGTTATATACATAGTGCCTAATTTTATGTTGCAAGTCAAACTGTCGATTAGAAGGCACAGAGCTTACACAGTAGATTTGTTGCATGCTTTCCTGGCATGTTGAGCACTCTAAAATATTTCTTGCTATAAATCTTCAGAAGCAAATGGTTAAAAACTGGTGATCCCACTGTAAATGTTCTGCTAATTTGGATACTAAATATTTAATTAAAAATTCTGCAAAATCAGCTTTTTTAACCTTCTATTCTAAGAGACTATTGATCTCTTAGAAGACTTATTGTCTTCTTAGAAACAAAGATTGTTGGTAGCAACTCTGTTCATTTGGCTCATTATCAACTTATTGATAATTAAATGAAAAAGTATATTTTTCAAGCTTCTTTTAGTTTAAGATGAATTAAGGTGATTCAGTATTGAATCCATTTACATTTAACTTGTAGTGGCTCCATGGATGAACGTTTTTAACCAATGGGGTGAGCTTAGAAGTGCCATATATAATACACTTAGATTAATAAAAATGCAACTAATGTTAAATTATTAGTATTATATAACTGATATTGAAAATCTTGAATTGTTCTTAAGAAACCATTCAAACTTGGTTTGGAAAAATTGTTCTGAAAAACAGTACATATGATATCAAGAACGAAGGTAAAATAGTAGAGATGATGTTTTACTTGTATTTTATTATTTCAAGAAATGACATGTTGAAGATAACCATGAAAAAATATTTTCATAAGAGTCCTCAAACAAGTCTCTCTCTCTGCATAAATGATTCAAAAATAACAGCTGTGTTTAAACATTGCTGCCACCTGCACAATTTTAAAACATGCAAGATAAAATGCATATTTTTTGCACTTTGATTGATGAGTAGATTTTAATTAGTGAGCTAACCACTCTGAAGTTATAGTAGCTTCTATTTAACATCCAGTTTGTGTAATGATTTAATACTGAATGCCCCTGAAGAGAACATTTAATGTGCCTTTTATTTTAATCTATTTGTGACTAAAAACCCCATTTAGTTTCAGGGAATTCCCTTTCCTGAATTGTTTTGTCATGTTGCATTTATTTCTATTTAGACTCTCAAAAGTAATTTGCAGAAATATAGCATATAGCCCATTTGTCAGAAATTAGTTTTCCTTTGTGGAACAGCTAGGCAAAATATTTAGCTGTTAATTACTGTGATTATAAGATGTTTATTCTCCAAAGCACCTGAAGACAGGACAAGAAACAATAGATGGAAACTAATCAAGGAAAGAAGCAATCTAGAACTAAGGAGAAATTTCCTGGAAGAGAGAACAATTAATCAGTGGAACAACTTGCATTCTGTTTAACTTCTTTATAGTGGGAGGACAAATGTCTTGAATAAAGATAATGGCAGAAAATATTAGAATATTAATACTTAAAAAAAAAGTGATTTGGAGTCTTACAATATATAAGATCTGTTAAAATCCAAGAATCACATCCTCAGTAACAAAAAGGCCAGTTTCACTACATAATCTGACAATTAATTTATTCAAGACATTTGT